TCTTTTACCCTAGCACCTACTCTGAGGGTTGCTCTCCCCAATGTTCCTCTGTCATGAAATCAAAGAGGGCGGCTACATTAACAGGAACATAAAAAAACAGCTTTTGCCCCTCCCCCATCCCTTGCTAGACATGTGTGATGTTTACACCTCATTGCAATAACATTGCTTTAGAAACATTGCTAACAAAAAAATTAAGAAGTGGGAGAATTCATTAGGAATTAACTAGGCTTATTAATAAACCACTATAAGGGTGCATTTAATCGCAGCAAAGGTGTCTTTTAGGCATAAAACAATGTTAACGCAACCATGTGTAAGTTTAAGTCATTGTTCACTCTAGTTGTTCTTATGTCCAATGTTGAACTTTGAATCTGTCCATCTGACCTTCTCCCCCCGCCCCCCTTCTCCCCAGAACACCTCCATGTAAATTTCCATTTGGATAAGGCTTTATATGACATCTGGAAATCAAATGGACCAGTAACTGGGTGCGCAGTATGGTAATATACCAAGTGTGTGGTAATAACAGAATTCTCCCCGATTGCACGCTCACCAACCAGTAGCCCTGTCCATTTCACTCAGCATTTCCTTGATGTGCAATAAAAAATATTTCTTGAAGTCATGAGGATGCATGAGGGATGTCATCGTTTTGTACCTGTTCCTATCTGTTGTTCTATAATGTTCAGTGGCAGTGGTGCAGCAAAGGTAGCCTTTACAGCAGTCGCACAACAGATGGGAAATTACTACATGCCGCATTTGTGCTCATTGAATTTCTGGTAATAAATCGGGAACAAGGTGAAAGAAAAAAATGAAACAAGTTTCATTACACACTCTAGCAGCTACCTCATCACGATAGGTCTGAGGAGAGAGAGTAAAGCATACGTAGCGTAAGTGCTGGTTGCAGACAATCAAAACAAACCACAACTGTAATCATTGGCCATTTTACTGGCAAAGTGCATTTTATTAACCTGCAAATCAGCTGTTTTGTGAAGACTGATCGACTGTTACGCACGACTACTCAAAATAAATACATGTACAAACTGTATGTTTTCACGAGATGAGTACATTTTCTTCCTTCTCTCACTGTAGCATGACTTTTATTATGTTGCATGTTTGCCAAAACAGGGAAAAAAATGGGATGAAAAATGCTATTAAAAAAATCATGGTTTAAAATCCTTGTTCAAAACCTTTACAGCAAAAGTTGAAGAACAGAGAAACACACAAAGACAAGACTTCAATCTACTCAATCACAGAACGCTTCTGAGATTTCATGATCATCAGATCACAATTTCCCAAGCCCTGCAACATTATTTTAAGGAACTATTATTTCCCACCCCTAAAATTACAGGGGAATGTTTTTCAAAAATAAAAATATGCAACAAAATCATGTAAGCTACAGTGTATGGATGAACGAGCTCATAAGTTCTGCATGAGGTTCTCCTTAATATAATGGCCAGCAAATCCTTGCATTCACATTTGACTCAAGAAATCTGCAAATAAGGTTGCCTTGTCCAAGCGTTCTACTATCAAAGTGTGCACCATACACTGGAGATTTGACAAGACCCGATGTGGTTTTGAGCCCAGAATATTTGCTGCCGTCAGTTTGAGTTCATCCAGTTTTCTTGGTTTAATGCACTCCAGGGATGAGGCTAAAACTGACAAACCTTCCAGTGATATGGGGTTGTTGCTATGAGGAGGAAAGAAAATATAAAAGGAAGATTATGAATTTTGGATCATATGCTACAGTTACAGTGCTGTGCTAAGCAGCCCCCTGGCCTGTTTTCGCTAGTGGCTTGCTTTTGCTTTTGCATTGGGTGACTAGGAAATATTAATTTTCCCATGAAAATTATTTTACATGGTACCTTGAATATTACAGGTTCAGAACACAGAGCTCGATCCAAATCTCTCAATTATTTCAATACGAGGTAAAGGTATAAACTGCAAAGGCACACACAAGCTTATCATGGTTTCTTTAGCATGAAGCATGCCTAAGAATATTACTACTCCCCCCTGGACAGGATGCCAGTCCATTGCAGGGTTACCCCTCACTGCTATGTCACCAGTACCCATTAATTTATACACTTGGGTTAAGAGGCACACAGTGGAGTAAAGTTCCTTGCCTATAGGGAACAATGGGACGGGTGAGACTTGAACCCTGGACATCTAGGTAATTAAGGAGTTCGAGGCATTAACCGCTTTGCCACACATGCCTGCAAAATCTTTCTTGACTGAAAATGAGTTTTATTGGCGTGAGAATAAAAAATCATTTTCATATCATGGCTTGCATTGTAGCCTTCCTTTAAACTGAGACTTAATGCAACTTGCAAATGGCCTATTTATTAAAAAGTATATCCCTCATAATAAAAGGAACTAGTGTTTAGATGTTACACAACCAATATGATTTATAACATAACTTAGACTTCCATTTTTAGCTGAAAAAATATTATTATTATTACATTAACATACCTAAGGTCTAATTTTTTTATTACAGAAGTTTTGTTTGGATGAGTGAACACTTGTGATAAAGCAGCAGTGTGAGAATCACCTGCACAAAAAAAAACAATACAACACAACATAGTAAACATGGTGTAAAAAAGAAGAAAAAATGAGGACTGTGCGAAGAAACATAGGAAAACGATTATCCTTGCATTACAGATGGATCTCAGTGGCTAAACTTGGAAAGGGACAAGTGGCCACTTGTAACTAATAATAGACTTTCTGTCATATTTACTAAGTGTTCTCACCAGGATTTTGCCTTTTAGCTTAAGGGGAGTACCAGGAACCCCTCTGTTGAGAAATAGGGGCCCTGTAAGAACATTAGGGGGGCAAGGTATGAAAAACCACTGAGCCCGCACTCCCAATGATCTGTTACATGAATACCGACCTGATCCAATATGGCGGATGGGGTGTTTACCATTTGATAACAATGCATGCACCAATCTTCGCAATGTACATGCGGGACCAACGAAAGTTAAGGAAATAAAATTAAAGTACTTTGAATCTTTTGAGATCATGTTTCTTGACCAAGCAAAATGATGGGGTGTTAGGTTGACCATTAAAACTATATTTAACTGCAGACGTTCTATTAAAAGTCCATTTGACACGTAGCATGCCCCTGCACCCTAACAAGTGCATCTTCATGGCTTTTTATACAGTGCCATCTCAAATTTTCTTGTGGGAATTTCAGTGCCCCCCTCCCCCCTCCAACAAACTGACCCAGCCCCCAACAGGAATGACTAAGGACATTATAATGAAGTCTTTCATGAATTACATACTATCAAAATTTGCAATCATCATTTTGATGCCAGAAATAATCTTTGTCAGTAACTAAATATGTGCAAAAATGAGCCAGAAAGCATACTGTGAAAAAGAAAAATTCAAGATTAGTGTAGAGCTAAAAATAGGCTCAATGATCTGACTGCTGGGCAGTAAAAAGGCTTATGGGTGATCATTAACATCACTGAAAAATATTATAAATTCTAAACTGAGGAAATTCTCCTAAATAAAATTATAACAACACTACCGGTAGTTTAGCTGACAGTGTACCAGGCAAAGTAACAATAATTCAAACCTATATTGAATTAAATTAGTGGAGGACGATAGGAGGGGGGGTTGGGGCCTAGGAGAATAGGGGTGGGAGGGGGTATGGGAGACATGGAAGGAAAGGTTGGCCAGTTGAAGTAATAAAGAGTGGGAATTGGGAGAAATAGGAGAAAATTATGCCACAGTGCAATTGAAAAAGGACTAAACAGAGGAAACAAGAGAAAAGGGGTAGGCACTGGGAATGCAAGGAACTGTACTGTTTTGATGATTTCATATGATCGAGGTTTGACTACACAGACTTGAAAAAGCTCACCTAAAATATTTTCTCCCAGCTTTAAGCTAGTCAAGGTGCTGTTAATGCACAAGGCATGAAAAATGTCACTGATGAACTCTGAAACTGAGAAAGAATTGAAGCATCGAAAAACGTGAAGCTTGGGTAATAAAATTGGAATGACTTACATTGTTAACCATTACAGAGTGATGACATGTGCATATAAATAAGAAAAAATATAAATAAATGATCATTTTTATGGAAGTGCATAAACAGATGATCTGTGGCTTGCAGAACAGGTTTTTCCATTTTTCAGTGAGTGAAAGCAAGTGGGGGGCCCCATGTTGCATGCCTAACTGAAACAATGATACAAAAAAAAAAACAACAACAACAACCATACAACAACAATGCTGGTTCTGGAACCTGCAGATCAGAGGCTCTAATCAAATCTTTGAATACCATTTCCCAGCTCTAATACAAAAAATAGGAATTTAAAAATGTTGGTTTTTAAAAAGAGGATAAGACCACGTCAGCGACTCAGAGAAAAATTTAATACATTTGTACCAAGCAGAACTAACATCAAATTATAACACACATGACAGAAAAATGGCAAATTTTACAAACTAAGGTACTTTCTTAGCTTTACCTCCGAGTCCACAACTGCTGAGATTCAAATCTGTGAGTGTTTTGTTTACTGTTAACATCTCTGCCAGCTTGTTATTTCTACTGGGATCATATCTGTTGCCTTTGACAGACAGGTGTTTCAGAGATCTGTGACCTGATCAAAGAGCAAAATTATACCATGAAAGAATATTGAGATCAACAGTGGAAATGTAACACGTGATTTCAGCCCTGTAAACTCGTTTAGATAAATATAATTGGAGTCTCAGAGAAGTCTGAAGGCTGAAGGGTTATGTCCAATATTGCATGTTAATTTAGTCATAGCCTGTTGTACCTTCTATTAATTTTCTCTTCAGTAAAATTAGGCTGATATATAAACAAAAACCAAGCCAAGGGATAATTATTGATGGAGAGTGCAAGGGGTTGGGGAAGGTATGTCTTTTCCATTTTTTGCACTCATCCATTCACTCTCTTGTTTAAATATTTTGAAAAAAAAATCTCTAAACAGGATTATAGTCAGTGTTGTTACTACATAATGTGTAAATAGTTGTACCTGTTATGGCATTAAAGATGTCTCCTAGCCCTGCAGTTGAGATATTACAATTGACCAAACTCAGAGAAAGAAGTGAGCTATTACTTTGCAGGCCATCAGAGATCAAGCTTGCTCCTCTATCCCCAACTGGACAAGTCAATCGCAGTTCTTGGAGGCCAACAAACTCTTTAAAATTGCAGCCATTAAACTGGATGATTTCACTGGAATCTAAAGATGGAATTTCTGTGAAATTAGCCATGTTTGATGCTGCTTCAAAAGATCCTGGATAATTCTGATCAAAAGCTGTTTTTGTACAGTTGTCATTCCTGTTAATGAAGTTCAAGTCACCACTGTACTGCCAGGCTCATTGAAACGTTCATGACGTGAACATGTTTCTCTGATAGAGCAGCCTTCTTGACAGTTGTCAGCTTCATTGTTTACACAGGAACAACTATGCGACGTGAATCTCTTATTTTAACTGGGTCCTGAAATTTTGTTTTTCTTTTACCTCCCAGGGAAATACCCAGATCCATGCATTCTGATTTTAGAGAATCTTCACTATCTGTTGTCTCGGATTTATGTGTGGAAGATGTCTCTAAATTCTTTAGTGAACAAAAACAAACATCTTTTATTGCTGTTCTTAAATGTGCACAGAAGGCTTCAGAAACTTGCAAGGAAGAAAGTTTGAACTTTGTCAAAGACTTGGACTCTTGGTTACACTTGCAGCAAAATGAACCAATTAATCTTTCCACAAGAAACTTTGTGATGCTATCACTCACTAGGTTATTTGTGATTTTCAGGCAACGCAGTTTTCCTTGTGCGCAGAGGAGATAGAGTGTATCCATTAACTTCTGTGATAAGCTCAGAGGCTGGAAGCTTAGACCATTGTCTTCAGATCAAGTGTCAGTGACTTTAAGTTTGTCCAACATTTTAAACTAGTAACAAGCAGTTCAAGGAGATCTTGATGCAGCCAGAAGGCAGTCAGCTCAAAATGAACTAAAGAGCAGCCAACATTTGATAAACTGTGAAACAGTGAAAGTGGCTTTGTAGGTTTAGTAGCTATAGGGATAACCTGACAGTGGCCTGAGGTTAAATCTGTGTCTTGTTGACTGTCATTTACTTGCAAAAGCTCTCTTGGGACATCTTTACATTCACGTCCATCTGCATTGTTAGAGCAGCTAAACACTGCATCAAAGAGATCTGAAGTAGAACTTGCAAGCGGCTTCACTTGTGCCTAATTTAGGTAAACATCCAGTGCAACTCCAGGATGATTCAGAGAATTTTCTATCTCTCTTTGGCAAAAATGACAAGTCATCATCAGTAAACTCATAAAAATTAATGTCCACATCATCTAAGACACTTGGAGGAGATGTGCAATTTTCCATTTCATTAATTACATGTAATTCCCCGGGAAGGAATTGATAAGGATTATCCTTGTTTCCAAAAGGAACAATTTTCTCCTTTTCTATGTCAGTTATGTTGCAACCATTTTCTTGTAATGGCATCAAGGAACAATATATTTTACTCCACAATTCAACAGAGTTTACTTTGCAAGAACAGAATCCAACAGATTTCAGTCTCTTTGATATAAATACTTGAAGGAGATGACACAGAGGCTCAACTCCATTGTTTCGAAGCATGAAAATTTCTAGAAATTCAACACACTCAGCAAGTTGCTGAACAATTTCCCAGTTCTTTGCCAGATAGATAATTGATGGATTGTAGAGCCTGAGATATGCTGCATATCTTGCCCAAGCTGAAATTATGTTTTGCAATCTGTAGTTATCACTTTCTGGAATGAAAAAGAAGTGAACATGTTATTTAAAGGGCATTATCTTTCAAACACTGATTAATTATTGCGGGGGAGAAGAGGAGCCCGCAATCCTAATCTCCAGGTTGTTTTTATGCATGCGTTGCAAATGTGTAGCCAGCATTCATTTGGACTTCCACTAAGAATGAATGGACTGCACCTATAATGCAAATTGATCACAGGCATTTGGACCTTATATCACTTGTAACCTGATCATGCATGTTGTGACCATCTGTCACGTGAAACTTACCCAAAGGATAACCTGAGATCAGGCTCTATTTTCGTTTCACTTTGAAAATTACATTCCAGCGGGCATGGCGAAACGAAAAGAGAGCCTGATATAAACCTTCTACGAAACGTCTGCCGCCCACTTTTTTGATTGATTGACATTTGCCGAATCAGCCAATCAAAATTACTTCCGTGGCTTGTTTTTCTAGTATGCAAATTTTCATGCGTGGGAAAAATGCAGACTGGCTGACTTAAAAAATAGCTTTTATCTGTTAATTTTTTCATCTAAAAATAAAACAGTCAGCACAATCACATTTAACTTCTTGCGAGATTAAGGGTGATCTCGAAGGTTATTTCTGTTGGCATAAAAGGTAAAAAGTTTTCAAAACGACATCAACACGATGTTCTACTAGTTTCATTATTTTGGCTAGGAGCGCTCGAATTTAAAATACTGAAATTTCTATTTTTCCGTTGCTTCAATATTTTAATATTTTCCTCGGCCATTTTCCCCGATTTTCAGTACATAAATCTTTAAAAATATTGAAGAAATATATCGCGAACTTTTCAAAGGATATATTTAACAATTATTCCACGAGGGCGCGTTGGATATGAGATGATAGATAGCCAACGAGGCGCATAGCGCCGAGTTGGCTATAATCATTTCATATCCAACAAGCCCGAGTGGAATAATTGTTTTATTAAAAACGCCCACAAAATCTCGTTGAATCGCCCCAACTAGAACAAACCGGAAAATACAAGGGACTTCCGCTATTGACATGTCACACGTCTATCAAAACTGTCAACGCGCGAACGGACTCGCCTAGACTGCATGAATGAAAAATCAAAACATTGTAGCGATAAACATTAGTTTTTTAAAAAAGCGTCGTGATTCTAGGATTTTACAAAGCAGAACAACTTAAAAAACCTGGCAGATAATGTGAAGGAAAGGAATTTTTAAGTGACAGCCGTCGAAATTACTATGAATTTGGATTTTCGGTGCAGTTGTAAAAGTAATAACAACGGAGAAAAACTACCGGTATTACCTCGGTCGCTTGTTATGAAGTTGTTTGAAGCCACACGCTGGTATTGCTGAACGAGAAAAGAAGCTATACTGCCGCCTCGATTGCTCTAGTGAATGGCTGCATAGCCTGTATTTGTAGCTAGTTACTTGTGATTTATATTCTTGATGTCGGATAAACAAGCTGCAGTTATCTATCGGCGAGTGACTCGATCGGCGAATGGCTTCGCGATCATGAAGAAACAACAGTTGTCTTCTTTCGTAGCTGGTCAAGGTACTTTAGTTCCATGTGTTTTCATGTGTTTTTCGACAAACTTTCAAACAAGCTCTTGTGGCTTTTTTGTTTTTGTCTTTTTTCTTTCGTTGAAATTGCATTTCTAGTATTCTAAGAAATGAATTAAAACGATTTGCTTCGGGCGCCGTTCTATCCTTCGCGAAAAAAAATCTCAGCTACCTTCCAATTTTAAACTGACGCGTACACCGACCATATATGGAGAACATGGTATATTAGCTCATATACCATAACGGCTAAGCCAATCAAAATGCTAGAATTGCATTATCCAATGTTCAGTTTTTAATAAAAATTATTTCACAACAAACCAAACAAGTCCTCAAGTGCATTTAATGCAGCTGATTTAGTCCCATGCGTACACTTGCAATAATATTTGCGAATTTACTAGAGAAACAAACGTCTAAAAAAATATATATTTTTGAAAAATCCAGGTAAATATTATCTGCCACTAACTGTATGCTCAACTATAAACCTATAAACAAAATGAAAAACAATATCACAAACACACTTTGTAGTTCTTATTAGTTGTGTTGTTGTTTTACTGCAGGTCTAAAAAGCTCGCTAAATTCATTAATCGAAATTTAAACAAACAGCAAACAGCCAACGAGCGAGGACACCAGTTTTCCTGGTTTATTTTTTACAAAAAGCGAAGGCAAACAACAAGTCTGTTACCTTAAGCCACCAGCTTAATATAAGAATGCCTACAAAATTCCTTGAACAGCGATGCAATATTTTTCATCTAATACTTCACAGTTGGTGATTGAAGTTTCTTTCCCAGTGAGCCTCTGTTTGTGTAACCTGTTCAGAGAAGTCATTCCCGGCTAAACTTTCAAATGAAACCAGTTTTAAGATGGACAATATTTTGATTTGCACTTGTTTGTTGGTAAATCAAAAGGCACCTTGTTAGCGGTCAACAACTTGCAGAGGGTTTCAACTCCGCGATACACTCACATTAGTTCCATACATAAAGCAAATCCTGAGAAGATATGAACAACCATATGAATTTTCTGAATTTCCATGGCACATATTAAGGCATGTTTTCCTACAATAAGACCATAAAACAATGAAAAAGACAGCAAAATCTATCCTTCTCTCTGCCGACGACAGATCATTCATGAAAACTACCATGCCACCACGCAAGGAATAAGCACTTTCAACTTCCGGCGTTTCCGACAGCCAATCAGATCTTGTGGCATTGTTCTAGCAGCCAATCAGCGTTACAGCCAAAAAATTGATAAAAATTGATATTTTACCGCAGATTGGCTAAAGGAATTATGCAGTTTTACCTAAAAAGTCTTCAGGTTTGCAGTAGTTCACACTAACACGGATGTATTCAACACATAAAACCTCAAGTTTGGGAAAATGGGGAAGATCCCTGCAAGCTTTTATCCGCCATATTGTGGTGAGTGTCAGAGTGAAATCTGGTAACAAACTTTTCCCCAGTGCTTTCTCGGTTAAGGTTCTCCCCGCAATGTGTAATGGGTAGGGACGTTCACTTCCTCATCATCCTGCAAAATGGAGTGTCTGGCTGAATCGTTGTCTGCAGATCCTTCCAAACATCGTCAAGAACTTTTGGAGCGTTTGGATATCCTAAGGAACAACGATATCTTTTGTGACGTGACGATCGCAGTAAAGGATAAAGAGTTCAAGGCTCACAGAGCTGTTTTAGCGGCAACCAGCCCGTTCTTTCTGACACTTCTGACAAGCGACATGAAAGAAGGCAACGAAAAACTGATCAAAGTAGAGCTAGAGGAAGCCACTGAATCTGTCATGGAAGACGCGCTAAAGTACCTTTACACTGGGAATGTCACAGTCCTTGAGGGCAGAGCTCACAATTTGATTGCAACGGCAAATTTTCTCCTTTTGCCAAGTCTAAAAACAATGGCGGCCAATGTTTTGAAGGAGACTGTGACAACTGAGAACTGTGTTTTCAATTATTATTTTGCGGAAAAGTATGAGTGTGTGGAGCTGAAGGATAAATGCCGTGATGTGATCAACGCAAATTTCAGTGTTGTCATGGAAACAGAGGACTTTCTCAAGCTTGATCAGAAGCAAGTTATGGAGTGGGTGTCTAGTGATGACGTCATTGTGAAGGAAGAGGAAAACATTTTCAAAGGAATTGTCAAGTGGGTGTCTCACAACAAGAGTGAGAGGGAAGGGAACTTCCCAGAATTATTGCACCAGGTTCGCCTGCCATTCTTATCGCGTGACTTTCTACTTGATGAATTAGTAAAAGATGAGCTGATCACGAAAAACCCTGTATTTTGCTCAAATTTTGTGATAAATGCTATGAAAGTAGTATTGAGTTCCAGTGATAGTCCCCAGCAACCAAGGAAATGTCAGGAGACTCACATTGATGGAATATTTATCTGTGGAGGGAAAAGAGCTTTGTGTTACTTTCCACAGAAAGACATGTGGTATAGGCTAGCTGACAGTCCATTTCAAGATTACAAAGACCATACCCTAGTTGAATATAAAAGTGACATTTATGTTGCTGATGGAAAAACACGTCGGCTCGGTGAGTCACATGTTTTGGAATTTTACTCACCTCTAAAGAACTCCTGGGGTACTGCTCAGCGAAGTGATGATATTACTGATTTCACATGCTTCGCAGTCTTAAAGGGTGAGATGTATACAACATGCTTTTCAGAATGGAACAGAAAGAGTAGAATCTGTAGATATGATAGTGAGATGAACTGTTGGCAAGACATGGAGGCTCCACCCTACTTGCAGGACAAAGCTTGTATTGTGGCTGATGAGCAGTTCTTGTACATTATAGGTGGTACAATGGATCATGGGGAAGGTGCTGTGTGCACAACAAATAGATTTGATCCCATCAACAACAAATTGGAGGAAGTTGCAGGTGTAAATCAGGCTAGGTATAATGCCAGTGGTGTTGCCATGAATGGTAAGGTTTTTATAACTGGTGGACAAGTGTCAAGGAAAACGTATATCCTCAACTCTGAAGCTTATGACCCCTCAACCAATGAATGGCAGCTGATGGCTGATCTCAATATTCCTCATTTCAATGCAAGCATGGTGTGCCTGGAAGGAAGGCTGTATGCTTTGGGTGGCAGCACTTACATTAGGAATAAGGGACGCATGCAAACTTCAACAGTTGAAGTTTTTGATTTAGAGATCAATGAGTGGAAAGTGAAATCATCTATACCTGTTAAAAACCTTGAAATGTCACAGGAGGAGAACAAGTATCAGGCTTGTTTTGCAAAGTTTAGCAAGAAAATGATTGAAAAGCTGCAACCACTATCAAACTAATATGTAATTCTAGTCCAGGGCTATTAATTATGGGATCTCGGCTAAGGTGATATCATAAGTTCTGCTTTTGTTATATTATATATTGCTGTGCTTTTTTATGTTTCACAAGAATATATGGGAATGACTTTCAATCAACGTATTTCAACCAGGTTTTGACCTTTAGTTAGTACATGTGTGACTAGAGTTGATCAAGTGACAGTGTTTAAACTCGAGTTTGCTTTTATATTTGTCAAGTTATCACAGGTTGAACCTTCAGTGAATGATTCTGATTGTGATTTTCAGCTCCGTTATATGAAAAACTGACTACCTAAAAAAACGTGAGTCAGCGAGCTATGAGAGGCAGACCTACGAGGCATCTAAAAACACACAAGGCACAAAATGATTTGTTAGTAAAAAAGAACCAACAGGCCAGAACGACTCCTGTCAATCGTAAAGGAATTTTCTTTCACTCGTCACAGATTCATTTCCACTAAAGGGTCCTGTAGCTACTATAAAGGCCAATTTAGACAGGGAAATTTTTGCTTACGACTATCGTGCACGACTATTATGTGTCATGACTGTAAATTAGACCCACAACAGCAGTAGGACACCAAAAATCGTACCGTCTTAATCGGCTGCGGTATGAAAGGAGGGTTCTTAAAATTTTCTCCTAAATGTTAGTTTCAGTATGAAACTAACATTAATTAGGAGTGTTTAGGAGAACATGTGTTCCGTGCATTGATTAATGCTTATCTCGATTTCCGAGTGTAACTTTTTGTCGAGGGTCGAGGGTGAAATTTCGAGGGTCAAGGGAAAATGTCGAGGTTAATATGTCGAGGGTTGCGGGTAATAAATTACGTTCAGGGTTCATTTTATATATTTTATTTTCAAACATTTTAATATGGTCTAATATTATCATTCACTTTTTATACTTGTTAT